GAGCTCACAGCCCCGCCAGACGACTCTACACAGCCAGGTGGCTGTCATGTACTATACTGGCATCCTGAAGAACGCTATAAAGAAGGACAAGATCCCCGTGGAGCTTTTGCCCAATGAAGGTCTGATTTTCAAAGTTCTTTTTTATGTTGTTTGTTAAAATGTGGTGCAAATTAATGTTTGTGATTTTTTTTTTTTTTTTTCAAATTTGCAAACAAAATAAAAAATTGGGGGCTTGTCCAGGATTTTATGTTGTAATAATAATTAAGTCCTGCCACATTTTTCAGTGTAATAACACAACTAATGAGCTATTCTAAGATGTTTTCCTATCCAAGTACTAAACAGGCCTAAATCATTTCAGCTTTCAAGAACAGAGTAGAGCATGGGTTAAGCATGTTATAGTGATAAATGTAACTAGATTAAAGGGTTTCATCATGTGGTTGTGAATGTCACTAAGTTCTGTGTATGTAAGGTGTGTGTAGCAATAAGTGTAAAACTGGCTTTATGTGAAAATAACACTAACAAAAAGAGGAATAAATAATCAAGCTTATGAGCAGAACGTTAGTTGTCAAAGAGACTTTAAGCAACATTAGAGCTCATCGGACCTCTGCTGTTTCATTTCACCCTCATAAAATTGTCACAGAATAAAGATAATTGTCCAATCCAACGTCAAGACTTGGAGCACGGACTGCAAAAATGTTTCTGTAAATGTTCTTGTCCTGTTAGCTAGCAATGCTAGATAGTAAAAATATTTTCTGTTGGTCAAATATGACAAAGTGAAAAAGTTACTGTAGGATCAAGAGAATGTTGATATACAATTATAGTACATTGTTAGGTCAGACAAAATAGTTTGCAATACAAGTTTCTCTTTACAGTTTGCTAACAGGGGCTACTAAAAATCTCCTGATACCATATAAAGTTAGCTGATAAAAATATGTATTGACAAAAATGTAATTTTGGAAATTTGGGAGAGTTCAGTTGGTAAAAATGTATTTTCCTCTCCACACACAGAGAAGATTATTGAATGGGTATTGCCATACCAGCACTACCAGAACCAGTTGGTGGACCAGGCTGCTCTGATGCTGACACTGTCTGGAAGAGTCAGTGAAACCAAGCAAGTGTTGGCCAACCAGACAACCTTCAGGCTCCGTACGCCTGACCTCCAGATTACGGTACAATCTCATTTTGTATTTGCATTTCTTTTTTAAGTCAAGCATAGCAAACACAAATCCAGTTTGACTGTTCAATTCAATTTCTTTTCTTTGATTAATTTCCACTTGATTAAAAAAAAAAACAGCCTCTGGGAGAAGCTGTGGTTGGTAAGGCGATGTCAGCAAAGATTACCTTCACCAACCCGCTGTCACGTGTACTGAAGGATGTCGTGTTCAGGGTGGAGGGCCTGGGCCTTCAGAAGGGCCATGAAGTGGTCATAGGGTAAGAAAACTTCTTTTTTTTCTGTATCTCTTTCTTTTTACCGTTCCTTGTCCCTTTTTCGACTAACGTTTGATTTCTCCTGGCGTGTCTCAGTGATGTCGGAGGTCAAGCTACAGTAACAGTGACAGAGCACTTCATCCCCACCCAACCTGGACCCAGAAAACTGGTGGCGTCACTTGACTGTAAACAGCTAACACAAGTGCATGGAGTAGCTGACATCATGGTTAACGAACAATGAGAACTTCTAACTCTACAAAGCGTGCTAAGTTCCTGTACCTTAAGCAGTCCTATTTATTTTTTACTGCTACAAATGTAAACAATTTTGTCATTGTGAACAATGAAATGATAATTAACCACTGTAGCATTATCAGTATTACTATTATTACTATTTTTTATTTATCTATTATAAATGCTATCACTTCTCTTGTGCATGCAAAAGGCATTGAATACATGCAACACAAAACATGAATACATGCAACACAAAACAGAGGCTTTGATTAACAAGTATTAAATATGTAAGCCTATTTTAGTGAAATGTAAAACACTGAACTAAAACTTGTGAAGGTTCACAGTGGGGCCATTCTGTGGTTATGTAAATAATGTCTTTGTGTATTGTTCATTTAGAATGTCTTAATGTGAAAGTTACCGACAAAATGAACTTCTCATGGCTCAAATGAAGGGAGAATCTCGCATCAGGTCTAGAAACAGACGTATGCAAATTACTGACGCTTTTTTTCAGACGTCTGTTAACACTTTCTTTTCTTTAGCATTTTAAACTGCTAAAAGACAAAAACAAACTAAAACACTTAACCAAAGGCAGAGAAATCGAGGCTTAAGATTAATTTTTCATTAAAAGGTTCCAAGTCAGAGCCGTAGATAACCTTTGTTTGACTGCTGAATTGCAAATCATTTCCCCTCCAGAAGATATTCTGGATTTCCTGTGTGCCTCTCCATCATCTGGTTACAATAACATCGACATCTTTGTCACACATTGCAGATAACTTGCTCATTCAAACAGAAACCACAACGACCGGAGTGCAGAACAATATGATTCTCATTAGGGAAGGGTACGAACCTGGCTTTGGTTGAGTCTATCGGTCTTTATCTCAAAACTTTATGTCTTCATTTAGATTTACTGCAGTCAGAGCTACTTCCCTTTTTCTGCACCTAGATTATTTTCCTATAAATTGAGATTGCGCCAAAAATGCTTTTGTTTTAAAAGATTTGTGATTGGCCTAACAGCTCTCAGTGCCAATTTACACATGCCAAACGGGGTAGGTCAATCCTGTGTTAGCGTGTGATTGCACAGAACAGGAACAATGCAATTCAGTAGCGCTATTACTGATTAGACCAGTGGCTTCGGTTTTTCAAGTGGATTTTAAAAAGAAGCTGAGCAAAAGGAGAAAATCAAAGAATATCAGATTCATTACCCCAGAACAATTTGTGAACGAGCTTTTTGTACAAACAGTAAATCTTGTGCAGAAACATCAACTTAAACAAAGTGTGAACATATTGGTTTGTGATATCTGATGATTTTTCTTTTTTTTGTTTGTTTGAGAACTGGATCATGCATAATTCTAAAAAACAAAACAAACAAAAAAAATCCGCTTTTGACGCAAGTTTGCATCCAGAATCCTTGATTTCTCAAAATGTCTTCCTGTTGTGGCCTCTTGAACTACAGCACTCAGTGTACAATGTGAAGAAAACTGTCTGTACTATTATTATTTATCTATTTTATCTATCTGGGAGGTTTTTGTATCATTTTGTTGTGACAATAATAAAGTTCACTAAAACTTTGATGAGGCCTTTTCCCCTTTTCTTTTTGCCTTTTAAACAAGACTAGAGGGATGGAACTATGCTTCTACCAGGAAACATCTTTGCACATTTTTTGCAAAACTTTTTGTTTGCTGGATCGTTTTTTATATTATTCATCTTTCATCATCGCAGATTAAAAAAAAAAAAAAAAAGAAAGCAACATAATGACAGGATTACTCAACAGTGAGTATGGCTTTCTGTGCAAGTTGAAACAGACGGCACGCCTTAACTGCATCTCATTGTCAGGAAGGCTGATGTAATCCCAAATGCTTTGGTCTTTACATCATCAAAGCACACATTTAACAGAACAAAGCTTTAATAGGTTTTAGAAAGGAGGTTATTTAAAAAAAATGAGCACACCAATAATCTGTTAGATTAATCTGTTCTATGATGAACCCCTAATTGTGCTAGAAAAACTTCACCCGCTATCCACACAGTGAAACTTGGTGATGTCATTATGATGTTTGGATGCTTTTCCTTAACATAGACAGAAAATCTATTAAATCTATTCAGGTTTAATGGAACATTGATGGAGATAAATGCAAAGTGTTGACTAGAGTGGCTGATTACATATAAACATCACACTTATTTTTATTTGTAAAACATTTTATTAATCACATATCACTTTCCTTTCTATTCTCAATTATGCTCTACTTTAATTTGCTATGTCACATATAACCATCATAAAATATGTTAAGGTTTGGGGCTGCTTCAATGAAAAAATACCAAGAAATATCACAAGGTGTATAAATATAAATATAATTTTAGCTACAGTGTGGCTGTCAAATGAATACTACGAGTGGAGTCTGTGTGTAAATTGTCCTCCATATCTGTGCTGTCCCTGTAATGTGACCACTGGCTGACAAATTAAGGACATTTTTCTGCTAAAATGAGAAGGAAAAAACAAAAATAGACCAAACTGAATGGATTTAGTCCTCGCTCAATCTCCTGTTTTCTGCTGTTTACTACAGTCTTAACCTGAGTGAAATCAGGGTTATGAAAAGAAATAAGGAAATGTTTTTCGTCTTTTCAGTGTTCCTAGTTTAACATGAATTTCCTGGTACTAATTGAGATTTAGATTTTTTTTAATTCTAATTATACCATGTTTTTACATCTCAATGATTCCAAAGGCCAGTCTTCAAATACTTTCTGTCGGTTTAAGTTATTTAAAACAACCCTGGGTGTCTCTGTAAGGACACGTCAACTGGCCAGCAGTCCTCTCTTGCAATTTTTAAAAGATATTGAGTCTGACTCATGTCAATTTTTAATGAGTTCATCGTCTGACCTCACTCCACCTCTGCACCAAACTTAATGAAGATAAGTGGTAGATTCTTACTGACAGGCCAGCTGATTGAAGCGAAGCGACTTCTCTGCCAGCGCATCTCGGACTCGGCAGCGCAGAGCAGGATGTGTGGACACAAAATGAATCCGCAATGAGACCTTGAACAAACCGCCGTGGCTTTGGGTGAGAGGGGGGACATTATTGTCTATAACAGCTTGTGGCAAAGAAGGAGAAGCTGTGTAAAATATTTTTTAAAGCTTGTTGATATTAGCTAACAGCTAGTGTTCTCCTATTAGCTAACAGCTAATGTTTTCCTATTAGCTAACAGCTACCCGGGACATTGCTCATCCAAGTGCTGTCATGTGAAAAGTTGTTGTTTTTTTTCTGAATTATTTGGGATATTCACCGGTCACCACGTGAGTAAAGTTAAGGCCCAAAACAGTAATAAATATGTAAATATTGCAAGTGTGGGGACTGAAAACATTTAAGATTTATTGTATGTTTTCAGTCATACTGAACCGGAATGCTACATAAACATTGAGTGCTGACCTCTAGTGGAAAGGTAATGTAGTACACCACTGATTGCTGGTTTGGGAAACATTGTTTTTTTTTTATATATATATATATACATATGTAAGTTTGTAGGTTATAAAATACAGCTGGGTGATGATGCAAAAAGGAAATAAGACACACAGAAGGCAAAGAAAGAACACCTTGTCAGGCACATAATAAATTATGAATCAGTGGCCATCTGGCAGCTCAAAAAACAATAAAACACCAGCAACCTAAGAGGCGCATCTGGATGTATTGCGTTAACCAAATATTCAACTCAATAAACATCTTGAATTGTTTGGTTAGCATTCTGTTTGAAAACAGTAACCAGTAAATCATGTAATAAATACTAATGTGAACGTACTAAATAAACCAGCCATGAAATATGAGCAAAAGAACGATTTACAGGAATAAAAAAAAGAAAGAAAGACAGCAGAATTACATTCAGATTCATTCAAATGCTTCAAAACAGAACAACTCAAGAGTGCTTCGCATGCACAGGCTCCGGGGCCGAATCCGCCTCGACGACTTGTGCAGATACAATGCAGAACCTCCAGGTCTTTTGGAGACACACACATGCCATCAGTCTACAGATTTACATATGTTTTCCACCACTCTGTTGAAGTCGTCTGGTTGATCAGCGTAGACGTGGTGTGAGGCGTCGTCTACCAGCTGCAGAGGGGAACGGTTTGAGGGAAGCAACACAAAATACACAGCTAGTTACTGACTCACAAAGTGCCTTGCTAAAAGTATTAGTACAGTTTGAACCTCCCGCCCCATTCTGTCATTTTACAAACCTCAAACTTCAATATTTTTTGTTTGGGATTTATGAGATAGACCAAGCTATTCCTTTACTTTTCACAATTTTGCACTACCATACTCTCTCTTGATTTGTCAAATAAAACCAAAGAAAAACATTGATTTTTGCTGTTGAAACATGCAAAAGCCCAAGGGGTATGAATGAATAAATTTAGAAGGCCCATTAAGTATTGAAGCTCTCTTGCGTCCACTTACCAGCAGTTTGGTGTGGGCTTTGCCCCTAATCTCGGCTACTCTGTCACCAGATGAGCTGTCCACCCAGGATCTAGCTCCATACAGCATAGTGACGGGCATGGAGGGCGGCAGAAGATGTACTCGCTGCAGCATTGGCCTCTTAGCCCACCCTAGCGTTTCTGACATGGCCCGGAAACCTATCTCCCCACTGGGAGAAGCAGAGGAAACAAAAAAGGAACAGCATTCTTATGTGTTACATTTTTATTTGTGAAAATCGGTGATGGAAAAGGGACTTCAGGACTTTGCTCGGCCCTACCTCGGAGTCTGTGCGTTACAGTGGTAAATGTACTGCGTCATTGTGTCATCGTCAAAGAGATCCTTGAATTTCCTTTTGAAATCGGGGCGGAACCGGTTCACCAAGCCTGGGCCTGAACGAATGAAGTGCAGATACTGAGATGAGGATGGTGGAACATTTGATATAACACATAGCAGAAGCAGATTTACATTTCCACATGCGTACCCCATGGGCCTGCAGCTCTGATAACAGCCAGCGGGTTGAAGAGGGAAAGAATCGAGACGATGGCTTTTGCCCATCTGGGAATGGTGGGCCTCTTCACCGTCTCAGTGCTCTGATCCTCGCTCTGCTGGGTCTCTGGTTTGCCTCGCTCAGGGAAACCCCAGGGGTCCACCAAGATAAGGTGCGACACTCTGGAAACATATTAAAATAAAGACGCTATGCGGCTGATACGTGCATCAGCTCGTAAGCAGAGAAAGGCAGTAGTGTATCACATTGAATGGCCACTAAATGGTGCAATTTTAACTAAGTAATTTTACTTAACAGATCCTAGAATTTTTCGCACAGTGATGTTACCACAACGGACTCACACTCTCTTGCTTGATTGACTGCAAAAGACCTGCAGACAGACTCTGCGGATGGGGCCACTGAGGTTTTCAGATTCCCCAGTGAGGCTTGTACTAAATGGCCTCATCACTACTGACCCAAAAGCACAAGAAAAGTCAGCTCCAGTTAGCTCAAAACTACATCAGTAGAACAAAGTAGCCTTATCTTAAGGCTTGTGTTCTTTGGGAAACCTGGAACTTTTCAAATCAAGCATGCAGTACGTTGAGGATTCAATCATAAATCAGGAAATCCTTGGAGGAAAATGTCTAGTATTCTGTGAAGAAGGTGAATCTCTGGTGTTGTTAGACCTTCAAGCAGGGCAATCATCTCAAGGAGCCACTAAGGCTTGATTTCAGCAGAAGATACTAGAAAGAACAGCTTAGTTACCTGACTTGAACTCTTTAAAAATGTATCTGGTGGGATTTGAAAATGGTGATTGCAGCACCCAACGCCAAGAATGTCAATGAACTGGCAGGCCAGAGCAGTCTAACATTCCCCAGAAACTCTGCTATCTGGCTATGAATCATGTTTGCAGCTTGTTGGGACAGTAAAGGGTGCTCCTGTTTATTGCAAACAGCTGATAGTTTTAATATTTTGACAAACTTTGATATTTGATAATCTTAATTTACAGTGACAGTTGAATAATTATAAGCAACCACTGGCTACATACACAGTAAGCAAGATGGTAATAGAGGTAAAGCATTTTTGATGAGTACTGATGGAGAACTGCAGTAAAGAGTGCCATGTTAGGAGTCTCCATAGCAACTGATATGCTGCAGGTAGACGCTTTTCTCTCTCCTACTATCACAAAGGAAAACATGAAGAGTTTACTTGGATTTTAGATGAAACTGGTGTTTAAAATCAACACAGTAATGTTTCACCAGATATTCTTCCATGGGTTGCTCAGATATCTAATCAAAGATTCTTCTATTTATGCTGTCTTGTGAAATGTTATTGGACAGGCCTGAGGGATGTCCAATTAATACAAACCATTTGTACAAGATATAGATGGTAAGGATATCACAAATTATGCCAAACAAAGATTTTGTTAAATCGTTTTACCTGCCATAAATGTAGCTCAATCAAAGGTTGTTAACATTGGTCTGTAAACCGAATCTCAGGAAACACAGAGCCGTGGACGATTACCTGGAAGGGTGCTGAATTGCGTATGAGGTAGCCAGGTAGCCCCCCAAACTGTGCCCCAGCAGGATCATGTTCTCCAGACCAACAGCCTGCCTCCACTGCTCAATGGAGTCCACAAACTGCTCCTCTGCCTTGGCAGCGTCTGACGGGAAGCTAGGCCTCGAACTCCTGCCAAAGCCCAAAAGGTCAAAGGCGTAGACGGTCCGCGAGCGGCTCAGGGCGTCCAAGTTCCTGATCCACAGCCCTACCCCTCCTCCAAAGCCATGAACCATCACCAGGGGAGTCGTAGGTGCTGGGCGGGAAAACCAAAACAAAAAACAGGAACAGGAAGACATGCATCTTCTGTGAGCTGTTTCTTATTGTAAACTCTTGTAGTTTATGTTTTCACGCCTATTTCCTTCTTGTGAAGACTATTCAAGAATCTCGTTACCTTGTTCTGCAGATTTGGGAGTCCCCTTGTTGGTAAGAGACAGAGTCCATATGCGGTCCTGGTTTGCGAGGGTCACAAACCTGGCCCATAAATCATTCTTAATACCTGTTGAGAGGAGCAATGAAGCAGTAAACTGCATTTTCTAATCAATACTCAGTGGTTACATAATCAGCCAGCACAGTATCTGTCAATACAGTCTTACAGGCAAGAATCTTAGACTCTGTAGTCTTCAACAGGGACATGGAGGTCGGACGCCAGGAGGGCCACCAGCTCCAGAGTGAACTTGACCTAATCAAAGTAAGTGGAAAGAGAAGCATGTAAAGAATGAGGAGATTTCAGATAGCACAGGAAGCATTCAGCACATGCTGAATGCAAAATATCAATGCTTAAGGCACAAATACGGGGTTAGTCAATGCTATCACTATTTGCCTAGTATGCCCACACACATAGAGAGAGACAAGAGGGTGGGAGGAGTATTACAGAGAATCACATTTCAAAGCCACCTTGCTTTAAAATCACGTTCAAGCCACACACCCATAGCAACAACAAAGTAATATTTAAACGGCTTTGCAAAAGTCTTCTTACCCCTTTACCTTTTCCCCTGTTTTTCAAATTAAATACAATTCCAATGGGTAATATTGAAATTTTATGACAGCAGCAAAAAAACTAACAATTATGAGGTGTAAGACAAAGGATTAATTATTTGTAAAGTGTTTTACAAAACAACACTCTGAAAAGTGTGGTCATTACTCTGCTAGTTTCGAATAAAATCCAGTGAGCAAACAGCATCATGAAAACCAAGGAAGATAAGAAAGTTTAGACTGACAGGTCTAAACCTGTCAGTCTAACGTATATTGGCAACGTTAATCAGATAAGCAACCAGGAGACTCTGGAGGAGGTGCAGAGTTCCATGACTTTGTCACAAGACCTGAAAGGAGAACCATTAACTGTCCACTTTACAAAGCTTGCTCATAATAAATTACTATACTACAACGAATCTGAGCATCTTCAGTCAGAGGCTTCTTCAGATTCACTGTAATACAGACTGCTACATGAGATCTTTCCCGCCAACAGCCATCGCCACCTTCAATAACTCTGTGAAGAATCTGAATTAATGAGCTACAACATTTAACTTCCCTTTGGGATTAATAAAGTATTTTTTGAATTTGAACTGAATTCGAAGAAGACCGCCGTTGTTAATAGAAAGCTGTAAGAAGCTGGTCAGAATCATCTTCTTTTCCTTCCACTACATAGCTACGTACTACTTTGGGTTAATCTTTCACAGAAAGGGGAAAAAAACACAACTGTGAACAATATTAAGGGTTTGAATGCTTTGCCAAAGGCAACATGCATGTTCCCATAGTCTGTTATTTCTTATTAGTATTTTGTAACAAGGCAGTTCCCTATAAGGTTCATCTCACCTGTTTGCTTTAGTCTCCAATCTGAAACAAAGAGTGATGAAACTGAACTGAGGTGATTCATTCATCTCCTTGATGAACCAAACTGATTGAATAAAGGAGTCAGCCATTACCTTTTACCATATCTACTCCACCTTTACCTCTACCTCAGTTTCCTAACTTCTGTTGTAAAGATAGAAAATTGGGGAAAGGGGGAAGCCAGCAAATAGAGAATGCCAGGTGATGCCATCAGATAATAGAGGGAGAAATCTGAGGCAAAGGTAAGAGCTGCCACCTGCACCACCAATAAACAGTGCAGTTCTGTGAGTCACTGCAGATTAGTGTCAATAACCTCTGATCCCGTTTATTCATCAAAAGCTAAAGGCTTTGTCAAACATGTATGCTCTGACAATGACTGTTAACTACTATTAATAATGGAACACCACCAACACAAGGGCTCCAGATTTATAATTTCAACTTTTATACAACATCAGATCCCTGCTAAAGATCCCTGATGTTGTATAATATCAGCAACTTTTCAGATGATGTAATGTTACATTAAGCTACATGAAACCAATGAAAGTGCTCGATGTTTTAAATCTAAACTTGGAAACAGTTTCTACCACCGTGACGCATCACTCTTTTTATTCCTTAGTGACATCAACAGTTGTTTCGATACATCAATTTATTGTTGTTATTTCCAGAATAATAACAACAATGACGTTAGGCGGAATGGTACTGTTAAAGGTAAGCGAAGTTACTCACTCTGTCTCACAGTCGTTTTGGATGGGAGCTGGAGCTGGAGCAGGATCCATTGGCTGTTACATTCAGATCAAACTAAGTCACATACGAATTATCATGCGTCTTCTATGAAATGACATTAAGACCTGCCGTCTTGTTTGCCTATGTATATATGTTTTGTAACCAGTGCATTCCTACGTCATCTGACCGGGTGCAAAGATCGTCTCTTGAAGCATGCAACTGCAAGCTTTCAAGACATTGGATTGTGTCTCGTATTTTTTTGTGTCGAAAGCGTAAATGCCGTTGCGATTAAACATGAATGTAATTAAACACACAGTTACCAGTGTTTTTGTTTACCAATAATCCGTTCGGTTACAAAAGAATGGAAAAATGAAAACAATATAAAAAACAACAACCATATAACATATTTTAAATAATGTTTTGCTGTTGTTTGTGCCAAAAAAGTAGACCAGAGAAAAAAATGTATATTTAAAAGAGTGTATCTAATCTATCAGCTCATTTAAAGAGAAACACGTTAGAAATAAATCAACTACATTGTATATTGAAATGATGTTGGAGTACAACATCGTTTTGTTTCTACCTCTTTGCTCTACGTAGCTAGACGACGTAGAAGACGTAGACCCTAGACTCGCTACGTCATCGCGTATCGTGAGTGGCAAGTTGGAAACTTTGCTAGGTTTAAAATTAATTAATTTCTATAAATATAAATGTGTGATCATAAGCCATATGTTAATTGATATAATAATTGATATTGTATAAATACTGATGTTATTTACCGCTACTGATTACGAAAATCAAAACAAAACACATCCATAACGAAACACAATGTGGTTAAAATTTATTTAAACGTACCTTAAGTTTGCTATTCTGCTTTTCTAAAACCTGTTGAAACCCGTCTTGGATCTGTATTAATATAATAATACAAAAAAATATAGCAGATATATAACAGCAGCAAATGAAAGGCAAATGGAGCACCTTCATACAAAAGTAATAAACATAAAAACAAAGAAAAAACACAAAAGAGGAAGGACAAATAAAAGAAAAAAAATACTTTTTATTTTTCATAACTTTATGCAGCATAAAATTTTGATGGACTTTAAATTACTTATAAATCTTTGCAATCTTTTGTAGATTTGGTGACAGGTATCAATCGCATCGCTTGCATTTCGATCAAACTGGCACTCACAATAGGGCGGTTACGTTGACGTACTAGTTACACAGCCTAAAACGCTCCTTGATTGTCATTACGAGTTATTCGGAATATATTTGTGTAACACCGGGACCGCTTCCGGTTGGTGAGGACACGTCACTGATTGAAGTGAAGAAGAGGAGCTGTGCTAACCTCCGTCTAGATTTTTTTTGAAATAGAAAAATCATGTCGAACTCAGTGGTGTCTGTTATATCCCGGTTTCTGGAGGAGTACACCACCACGACGCCCAACAAGCTGAAAGTGGTGGACGCTTATCTGCTGTACATCCTGCTAACCGGAGCGATGCAGTTCCTCTACTGTCTCCTCGTTGGAACCTTTCCTTTCAACAGCTTTCTGTCGGGTTTCATCTCCTGCGTGGGCTCTTTTATTCTTGCAGGTAGCTGTTTCTGCAATATTTTTGTGACCTATTCGGGTCACGGAATATATAACACTTCCGCTTATAATTTTCAGGCAGTGTCGTGGCCTCTGTGGATGCTAACTGGCTAACATAGCTAAAACAAATTGCCATCTGTTTTTTGTGTTCAAATTAAGCTATTTTAGGTTTTTGAAAGATAATACAGAGAAAGTTAACCGTACAAATAACATTTTATTGGTTACCTTGCTATACTTGTATAACAAGGTGTATCCTGTATATTAAATGAGTACATCAAAATAGTCAAAGTAGTACTTTACACCTACAATGTTAGTTTGTTAGACAAACTCCTGAACAGTAAAAAAAATAATAAATCATGGCTATAGTGATGTTTCGAGCCATTTAGATACTTCAAATAAACAATAAAATTGAAAATAAATTCCAAAACACAAACCCAGTAGGTGTAAAGAGACCTCCATATATGTGCAAGTCTGTGACGCCCCAATACCAACATGAAGAGCAAAAACGATGAAATGGTGGCAAGGATAACCTTTTTAAAACGACTGAGTAAAATAAATTCTTTCTGTCCTTAATTGGAAAAAGTTAGATTACACTATGACATTTTTCTGTTGGTTAAAGTTTAAACCACTGGTCAGAATCATTTGTTTTCTGGTCTAAGGTCAGAATGGTGCAGACTTCCAATATATATGACTTAAGTGCTATACACAGCTTAACATCTTCTAAAAACTTAAAAAGGCTTGAAAGGCAGCACTGACATCACATTTTAGTCATATTAGTTTATTTTTTTCAGTCCCATAGCAGTAAATTGCCACACTTCGTAAATGTTGTAACTGTAATTTAGCAAAAGCAGAAAAAGCAGGACCAATAACAAAGGACACTAGAGGAAAGGGTAACTTTTGAAGATTGTCACCTGTCTTAACTGTAAAAGTTAAACTATAAAAAAAGATTTCGGTCATGGCCATTTTGATCCTGCATTCCCTACTGTGCCCTTCAAACCAGAAATGGTAGCAAGAGGGTTATTCCTCAACTTTTAAAAAAAAATCATTTAAAGTAAATTGTAAACAAATATACCCAATACCTTTTTGCACAGTACTAAAAAATTGTTTTGTATTATTGCAGCCTAAGCCTGACCAAGTTCATGTACTCTTGCTGCCCATCGAGCCGACCGAGCAGGTTGCTGCTGAAGTGGCCCTTCACACAATTTAGCTATCGTTCCCCTGTGTGTTTGTGCTCTGGCCTGCAGAATAGGTACCAAAATGGTTGAGTAAAACTGGCAGCCAGAATCATTTTTCTGCTGTCTGGGAATTCCTCTGTGAAGCGTAGAACCTGCACCGAATCTGCAGCTGGTGGTGAAGAGCTTTGTCTGTCACGAAGCCAAGCTCGGTCAAGACGGAGAGCAAGAAGCGCGACCAGTGCTGCAAGCTGCAGTTTAGAGATGGAGTGGACTGTGACTTTAAGAGCAAAAGCCATCTGGAAATAGTTGTTGATTTCCCAATAACTTTTTATTCCGATGGACACGGTTGCTATAACTTTTTCAAGTTGTGCAGTGGCTCAAAAACTGATCTAAAACAGATGGTGAATGGCGAAATTAATATAGATGTAAACTGGAGAAATTATCTCAAGATTAAATATAATTTTTATTTCAAATTTTTTTTCCTTCCCCCCCAGTGTGTCTTCGCATCCAGATCAATCCTCAGAACAAAGGGGATTTCCTGTCCATTTCTCCGGAGCGGGCCTTCGCCGACTTCCTGTTCGCTCACACCGTCCTGCATCTCGTCGTGATGAACTTCATCGGCTGAAACGAACGCAGATCTAATTCGCATTACCCCTTCGTGAAGGTGTTTGTTTTAGACATTTAATAAAAATAAAAATATTAAGAAGTGACTGTTTGCAGAATCTCACTAGATTTTGTAACTTGGCATGATGAAATGCCTCCAACCATGGCGATTTATTTCTCCACTGTCACAGAAACGGTTAAAGTGCCGCATTTTATTTTGCTTGGGGGGAGGTGGGGAATCTATTTTTAACTTACCAACAGCAAAGACCACATTTCTTATCTCCAAATCAACTAACTCGCGCTCTAATTTGTCCTTCCTCCCTACAGATCTCTAAAAAAGCCATCAAATCTCTTAAAGACGACAGTTCTTCAGCAGCTGATCTGGATGACAACATCCCGGCATCAATACTGAGTTACACGCTACGTCTGACTGTTGATGCAGTACAATTTTCCTAAAGCAATGATTTTGTTATGTTGACATTTGTAAAGCATTCCCTTTTTGCACTGACATAAATAAAGCAAGTGTAACGGTGACCTTGTCTCTTTGAATCGTCAGTAGAAATTATACAAGTGGAAATGAATGGAGGTCCAGATGAGAGAATTTAGGACTGGGAGAAAAAAAAACCCTCTGTCCTTGGTGTTTTTTGTTCATTAACGTAAGCCGAGTAAATGTCGCATAAATAATGATTAAAATGTGTATGTAGGTGTATGTCTGCAAAGTTTAATTATATTCTGTGTTTTCAAAGAGATCAACTCACCACAGGTTCTCTAAAGTAATCAAGTCTGCCATGGCTGTGGAGGGAGGTTGATTGACCGCTTGTGTGCTGATTTAGCCTTTTCTGAAAATCGATAATCTGTAAAAGCTCAACTTAGCTTTCTTATAAAGACTATAGAATTATATTTTGTTTTTTTGAAAACTTCAATATTAGCATAATTAAACCAAATTAACTGCACCGTCTGTCCATTTGCATTCAGTGGTAGCTCTTACTTTAGTTAAACTTAGATGTTTTTTTTTTACATCTTATGCCATCTTGCCCAATATGTTCTCCCCTCCAAACAAACCTTCAAAAAAAAAATAAAAGATCCATGCTTAGTTATCATGTGGATTTATACAGGCACATCTCATAAAGTTAGAATATTTTGAAAGATTTCACTATTTTTAAGGCATAATCATCAAAATTACAAGAAGTAAGGCTTGAAATATTACAGCCTGTATTAAATGTGTTTCACTTTGTTAAAGAGTAAAAAATTCTGTGGATTTGTTTTTGTACTATCATAATTTCTTTCAAATGTACCTGTATTTTTTCTATCGCAACAATCATAAAGTGGTAAGAAAACTTATTTTCTTGCAGTTTCTAAAAGTTGATCAAAACCAGCAAATTCAAATAATCCCCAGGTTTTACTGCCAACCCTCATGGATTTCCCACTAAATCTGCAGAAAGTGGACCTTAGTTGGTTTACTTGGCTTTCAAGCCAGTTAACACAGTCTCTTACATATAGGTGATACTGCTGGAAATCCTTAAGGTGGAGACTCGTCTACTTCTTAATGTCTAACTGAATTTTCAACAGAATTGAGTAAAAAGTTGTCATTTGCAGCACAAGAATTGCTACATTGCTCCAGAGGCTTACATACTACTTTGTCGAACTTTGTGAGAAGAGTAAACCTTGTTCACTTAGGGACAAATTATTTTTGGCGATGTGATTTGATAAAAAATTAAAACTGAAGCGTTTGGCCATGATGACAATTATTACATTTGGATAGGAAATGGAAGAGCTGGCAGCAGCACTTTGTCTGAGTGTGTTGCTGCCAAGGGACTTGGTGCGCTTCATAAAATATGAGCATGATGAACATCAGCCGTATTTCAAGGCATTAGCCTTGAAGTCAAAAAAGTTGGACACAAATGGTGCCTTCCAAACGGACAATTAGCCTTAGCATGAGATCTAATCTCAGTTGAATAGAAAAATCCATGTCCAGGTTTTAAAAGTCGTGTGTGGGGAGGCAGACAACAAACCTGACCCGGTTACTCCAGTTCTGTCAGGAGGAATGGGCCAGAACTGCAGCAAACTACTGAAGGAAGCTTCAGGAACGTCACTAAGAAAAGGTAAGCAAACTGAATTTTGATCAAGTTAACAGAATTTCACAATTTCACCAAACAATTTGTTAATGCTAGCTGATCTGTAACAGGATAAGTTTATTCTGATGTAATGTCAGACAGTGAGGAAAGTGTAGTTTACATATTTAGTTTTAGCTTTATGCAGTAAACATCATGAATAGGCCTCTTGTTAAACTGCATATATTTTTTGTTAAGTACAACTGATGTGGATAATAAGTCAGTATTTTGAATTTCCCACTGTGAACTCCCATCCCCACTAGGATGATGGAAATTGAAGTCAAGCAGCTGGAAAGACGTTCCGGCACGATGAGCATGCCATTTCAAAATAAAACATTTAAGGAATTCCAGCTTTCCACGAATCCTGCTTTCGGTGGACGACCAAAAGCAGCTCTTGTCACGCAGTTACTTCTGCCACTTTAACATGTTGCTCTCTTCCTCCAATTATTCCTGTCTTACATTCATTCCACTGCCATCTTAACACTTCCCTTTTGTCCGTTTGGCACCTACATGGTTAACATCTGGAACATCTGGATCCAGCTTTTGGTCACATGACCAGCTTGGTGGGGAAGAGACGGACACTGTAGAACCCAGATCCCAAAGTGTTTTGCGCTGGGTGGCGAGTCTGCTTAACAAACTCCAAAAGTGAAGTCAAAACATGTCGCAGCTCTCCACGATCACCCTCTTCTTGTTACCATGGATTCCAGGTATGAGTGCTGAGGTCAGAAGCTGATCCAAAAAAAAAAGAATAGAAAAGAAAACCCATTTTCAGCCGTTGATGGAGTTTAACACAAAGGATGATTAATGTCTCTGCTGTTGCCTCCTCACTTTATTATTGTGCACTTAGCAAATACTAGCGCTTTGTCAGAAGATACTCTTTGCGCTTCGCTTCACTTTATCATTTTATTCCATTTCTACATTAATCATTTTGGGGGGGAGACTGACTTGAAAGTTGTTGAAGCTGCTGTTTTCTGCTGGAAGGCACCGAGAGATTTAATGTTTTTCTAAGTCTCGCAAGCTCTCACAGTGTTTGACTGCAGGCGGTGGGTATGTTTGAGGTTGGTTTTGTTAGCCCTTTAATCCTGTGAATTATAGGAAGGATAATCCGTTTTCAGAATTACAAGTAAAGGGAAGTTAAAAAAAAAAAAAGAAGGAAGGAAGGAAGAAACTCCCATGCCACAAAGGAAACCCTTATAACAAATATGGTCAAGGCCACTTTCCCTATTCCATGCAGCAGATTAAAAAAAAAAAAAAAAAGTCCTCAAGAAATAACTTTCCTGTTCCAGCTGAACCTTCTCTGAAGATTAAACTTGTGCTCAGCATTCATCACATCCCCTTTCTGTCAGCCTTTCTCTGTAAGGTCACCACAGAGGAAGAGTTTGCCGTCCTGGAGGGGGGCTCACTCACCATCCCCTGTCACTACGAGCCCCAGTACGCCAGCTATGTGAAATACTGGTGCCAGGGGAGGACCAGGGAGTTCTGCACGTCGCTGGCTCGAACCGACGACCACCACCTGGTCGACCCGGCCGAGAAGAAAGTGAGCATTTTCGACGACCCGGTCCAGCTGGTGTTCACCGTGACCATGAAGGACCTGAAGGAGGACGAGTCGGGGTGGTACATATGCGGCGTGGAGATAGGTGGCGTGTGGAAAGCTGACGACACCACTTTTACAAAGGTTAAAGTTATACATGGTGAGCAGTGGAGGGATTTTCAACCTGTGGTCACAACCTGAACCGCACAAAAATGGGACGCCATTAATCGCTTAATTTGTTTCCGTAATTCAGTTCAAAATGGGAAACTTGTGCTTATAAATCAAGCACAGCAAGAGCGAAATAATTAATGCTTCTCTTAATTTTAATGACTCACAGTGAATAAAAAAAACCCAAACCCAGGCACTCAACAAATGGAAGGTTACATAAACGAGTCTAATTTAAATAATAATTAATAAAATAAATAAAATAAAATAATAATTAAATAATTAAATAATAATAAAATAATAAAATAATTTAATAATAAAATTAATACAATTTTTATCCACTAATTACTAAATGTATACATGAGGAGGATTGACATTTGGCTAGTCAGTCACTGACACCCTCCACAAAGAGGGTAAGCCACAAAAACCAACTGCTAATATAGATTTTGACATTGACATTTTTCTTTTTATATGCTATAAGAAAGCATAAAAATAGAAAATTGAGTGAAAGGAAAGGATCCCTGGTAAACAGTCTACCTGGTAATCCCTGGTAGACTGCTGTCAAAAATGCACCTTAAACGCCCACTGGTCTTCTTTCAACAAGGAGGCATGTGTGTTCCATGAATGCTGGTTGATGCATATTTTACACATATTACAAATTCCATTGGAAGCACTTTCTGCTATTCTGCAGTTGTAGTCATGCCCAGATATGCCTAAATTTGCCAACTAGATTAACAAATATCTAAAGTTATAGCTAATGCTTGTATGTTAAAATACACAATTTACATTTAACTTAGCACCTGCTTCAAAACAAATTACATACATGCATAATCTTTTATATCCGTAGATAAAATAATATACAAAGGGTTTGAGCACCTAGACCGAAGAGGTGTGAGTATTTTAAGGTGAAAATAAATGTTGCGTTTCATTCGGAGTTTGGAGGATGAGTGCAGAGGCACATAAACCGTCTTGCTTGAAGTCCAGTGGAAGTTTTCCACAGCCAGTGATGATTTGTGGAGCCACCTAATTTTGCCGGTGTTGGTCCACTGTGTTTTATCAAGTCCCAATCGGCACAGAGGTCTACCAGGACATTTGAGACCACATTTTGCTTCCTTCTGCTGAGAAGCTTTATGGGGATATTGATTTAATTTTCCAGTAGGACTTGGCACTGGCTCACACCACGAAGAATACCAAATACCCGTTTAATGACTGTGGCAACAGTGTTTGATTGGTGAGCAAACTGGTTTGGCTTGAATTCTATAGAAAGTGTGTGGGTACATTGATTGTCAAGAGAAGGACTCTAGACTCCAGAGCAAACAATGAAGATGGCCTGAAGGCAACTATCAAAGCAACCTGTGCTCCAGAACGACAGGCCGACTGCCTACAAGCCAGGCTGACGCAGTCATTCATGCGAAAGGAGCTCAGGCCAAGTATTGACTGCCTATAGTTTGCTGTATACAGACTCTATTTTTTTGATTTGGAAAATTACATGTCATTGGTCTTACATAATAATTCAAAACTATTGCAGACCACATTATGGGTTTTCATTAGTTGTAAGCCATAATATAAGCATTAAATAAACATTTAAAACATAAAAATAAGACCACAAGTTTGACTTTTTGAACCAAATTGCTGAAATAAATCAACAGTTGTTGTTTTTTTGTTTTGTTTTTTTAAGTAATATTGTTATTTTTATTCTCATTACTAATGTAATGCAACTAAGGGCGCTTTATTTTTATGTATTTAGTTTTTCTTCTCCATATTATACCATGCTTTTTTCCCATTTATGTACCGTATCAACTAAGACACTCCATACTATGACTACCTAAAGGACTCTTGTGATTTTTTCACACATTTTCTTTTTGTGAATGAAAGGAAAGGATCCCTGGTAAACAGTCAACCTGGTAATCCCTGGTAGACTGTTGTCAACCAGGGATTACCAGGTTGACCGTTCATCTTGTCTTAATGCCTATATTTGACTTTAAATAGACTTTTCTATGATATACTTGTATTAACAACATGTTGTCCTGATGATTTCTGCAGGCATGTCAGCTGTGAACAGCATGATGAGTGGAGCAGAGGGAAGCGCCGTCACAATCGAATGCCTCTACAGTGAGAGATACAGGCATTTGACTTTTTCTTTTGTTCCAAATACCACCGGTCCGATTTCATACCAGACCGCGAGACCAACTTGCTAAAGCACCGCCGAAAACATTTCACATTCGCACTTGACGACCAGAAATCTCTTCACTCGTGTGAGAGGAAGATCGGCTTTTGGTGACTCCCCTGTGTATGCCTGCCAACAGAGAAAGCGAGAAGAAATGGTGTCGGAGTGGCGACTGGAGATCCTGCCTGTCGACGGGTTCTGACGGGAGCTACGAAGACTCCTCCGTGGCCATCAGAGATGACAGAACTGGGGCTTTCACTGTAACCTTCAAGAAGCTGCAGATGAAAGACACGGCGTGGTACTGGTGTTCTGCCGGGCAGCAGAAGACGGCTGTGCACGTGCTGGTCACACCCCAACCCACCACCGGTAGGCAGGCATTAAAAAAAAACCCTACGACATCTGCTTTCCTTGGAAATCACTGTGTTTAATGCATATTTCAACATGTAATTCTAAGTGATAAATTATGAGCTAGAGAAGCTTTCGTTACAGCGCTTCTCTAAATGATTAATAAGCCTGGAACTTTTTCCACATTTTTCCATAAGTATGGCTACAAATGTTACTGGGCATCGTTGTGATTCTATGATACACACATAAAAGACAGCGCAATGTGGTGAAAGAGAGGAAAAAAAAATATTTTAAAAAATTCTTCTTGCAGCTGAAGCTCAAACTAATCTAAAAAAGTGTAATTAAAATTTCAGTGTAGATCCAGTTATTTATTTTCTCCTGTTAAGGCCTCAGGGTTTTGTTAGAGATATTAATTAACAAGCAGCGTAACAAACACAAAGGAACGGTAGCAAATAGGTCAGGGAGACAGTTGTGAACGATTTTGAGGCATGCTGTTGCTTTGAACACAGCTCAGTCTGTCATCTGAAAATACAGTATGGCACAAATGTGTAACCAACCAGCCTGTCCACCAAAACCGACAGGCTGGACTTCTCTTCTGGTCTGCATCCAAAATGCTACACACCGGCAATGCTCGGTTCCCTGAACATGCCATCAACCTGCGCGTGTGCTTTTCTTCAGCAGGAAAAGGGAGGAAGTTAGACAGAGTTGATGGCAAAATGGCAAAACTAAGCACAGACCAACACAGGAAAATAACCGTTTACAGGCTGCAGGGCCACAAACATAAAGCCAAGCCTATAAATCCAGAGCTAAATCCAACTGTGGCAAGTCTTTAAAACTGATCCACACGGACATTCTCCATCCAGTCTGGCTGAGCTTAAGCTAATTTGCATAGAAGAATGAACAAGAACTTCCGTTTGTAAATGTGGAAGATGACAGAACAGAAAGATAACAGAGACAAATCCCAAAATAAGTTAAACAGTAACTGGTTGCTTCAATCAACAACTCAGGTAAATGGACACCTTCCTTTCCACATCTTTGTTGGCAAAAAGTGTTGAAGGCCATCTTACTGTTTCCTTCCGGTTTGTGGATCTCCTCAACATAGAATCTATCACTTAAAATTCTAGTAAAATTAATTGAAGTTGGTGCTAATAATGTGACACGATGGGAAAATGTTATATGCTGTATTTAAGTGATCTTTGTAATCACCTTAGAGTAAAAAAAAAAATGCTAAAACCATTAAAGAAGGTAAACTGAAGGAATGGCTTTATGGGTTCAACTTGAGCATTAGTTTGGTAGCCTATCTAGTTTACTCAAATCTACGTGAATGTAATAGTAAATCTCTAGCAACATTATCATTTTTCTGACTTTAATTCCAATTTTTACCCTTAATGGTAAAACTGAGCCGTTAACTAAAAAATATATCATTCTTACTGTGGAAAATCTCATTGATGTATTCAAAAATATTTAGTGTGCAAACTTCCACAGATCACTGCATTACACAGCAATAGTATTTTCTTGAGAGGCAAAACTGAAGAAAATCACAAAAAAGCAGCTTAATTCATGTCTTCAATAGTTTGCAGCACAAGTGTTCTTTCCCAGACTAAAGAAAGGCTAAATAAGAGTCTACCCCGAGGCCTTCATATTGTCTAGGGAATATTTGCTGCTGAAAGGAAGAAAATGAAAAAAAAAAAACGCTTAGCTGTCATGTTTGGATCAGGTTTTGTGTTTGTCAAGTTTGAACTGTTCTGTTCTTGCAATCAATGAAATCCTTTCAGCTCTCGACCTGCTAAAGTGAAGCCGTGTAGCTAGCGTGCTTTGTTGGATACATCTATAGATTTTTACATGTTGCCTCTGAGGTTTTTAAAAGTCACTCGCTTACTGTTGTTTTATTGTGCTTGAGAATAGAACAGCTTACATGAGAGAACAAAAGTGGATCTGCTGCAGAGTTATTGTCTAAACCTTTACAAGGAGAAAATGGGGATTGCAAAGAATAAGCCGGATGATGCGCTCAAGCTAGCAGGCCTTTCTTAGCTTCTCTGCCATACTTATAAAGTCAACGCTCATAGACAAAAACCCTCAGAAGTGCTAGTAAATAGTTCATACCAACAATATTAACTACATTTCTTTTGTGCGGGAGCCATACTGGATAAGTCTGGGTTACTGGGAAACCTTTGCTTTTCACAGTCAGAATTCCAACTCCGGAGACCTTTTTGTTTTATAATCGGCAGTGCTTTGAATTAGACCCGCTAGTGCAAAGGTAAAGCGTCTCAAAAGTCAGATTAGAGAGATAAAGGTAAAGATAATGCATTGTTCTCACTTGTTGAAAGTTATATTTTATAAATGAACAGTCAGAAATGCCCTTGAAGTCAGAATTCCAGCTGGGAAAGTTCAACAAGCAGTCCCATATGTCCGATATGCTACTGTGCAAATGCAGTGGAAGTTGTAGGTATAAAATAATTGTGAACTTAATAGCGCTTCAACCACTTTAACGCCACTTCCATTACTTTCGTTGTTGTTGCTAGCAGTTTTTAGTACCTCAGCAATCCCACTGGATTTCCAGTTTGGAATTCCAGCTCCAGTTTGGAACCAAGTAGGAAAACTCAGATTTCTTCCTACTTTTGAAAGCAGCTGAAAGCTCCATTCGTTCTAACTTTGTTCATTTTCTCGCTATGTTTTTAATCTGGAATTATTGCTTTTTGCTAATTAATGTAATGAAATGAAGACGATTGACTGAATACAACTAATAACTTACTTTGGCAACAAAGGTTGGACAAGCTGTAAGTCGGTAACCATGGAGAACCAACGGGCTGCTTCGGCGTTGTCTGGAATTTGAAACCTCAGTACGCCGCAGTTTCGCTGACACTCATGTTTGTCGGCAGGGATTTTAAAACGACATTCATGTCTGCTAAAACAACATCAATAATGAAGAAAAGGCGGCGCCACATGGCTCAGTGGCGCACCACAGCCTCTAGTCCTTCGCGCAGCTGTCCCAGATTCAGTTTCTAGCCCCAGGCCGTCTTTCTCTCTCCTCCCTTCTTCCCGTCCATCCACACTGTTCATTAAAGACCACAAGTGGCTCAGAAACCTTTAAAAATAACAACGAGGAGAAAATAATTCACTTTAACTTCTTATTACTTTTGTAATTATTGCTACTAATGTCCATTTTGCAGCCATTAAAACGCAAAGAAGCTGCTCTTAGCATCGATATGTCATCATGTTGTGTAGCAGGAGCTTCTGCTGCAGCATATGGATTTTTTCATAACACCTGTCAAGAGTATTGATGCCACACATCGAGTTTCTATTGCGCAACAAACTCTCTTGTGCTTGGCACGCTACCTCAATTTTTCTTTTTCAATTTCTTCTTTTTTTTTTCTTGAACCTGAAATATCCGTCTAATGCCGCATTGTCTCTTGCAGTTCCACCAGTGCCGAGCCAGTCCTTCCCAGACCTGCCTCCAGCCAAACCCATCACTAAGGAGACCTGGAGCAGCCACAGGTAGGAGAAGTGAAGTGTCGCTGATTTGTGCTACGCCTTCAGTTTGAATCAAAGCGGATTGCCTCAGCAGACTCTGTATCTGCTTTTTTTATTTAGTCCCATGTTGGCATCTGTGGTGGTCTGCTCATCTGTCATTTTCCTGGCTGTCGTGGCCATATTGGCTATAAAGTTCTGGAGGCTGCACAGTAAGGCAACTCGTTTCCTTAAATGCGATTCCAATGCGCGATGATTCCATCAAACTCAGCGAACAAAGTTAAAATCTTCTCGCTGTTCATTTCCAGAGAGCGACCGGGTTCCAAGAGACGTCGAGGAGATGAGGGCGAAATTCAGCGTAAGCTCCTTTTGAACAGGCTTCTCCCTGCTGATCGAAATAAAACCCCAAACTGCTGTGCATGTGATTTATGGAGTATTGTTTTGTAATGTCTCCTACAGGGCTGCTCGAGAGAAGCAGGTGACTTTCAAAACGCAGCAGTACTTTTCCTTAACAAGGATTCCCAAGATGTGCACATGTACTGATATCTGATATTCTGCAACGTTTATTGTTACTTTCACAAACTGAATGTAATTTTTTATTATTATTTCCTTCCACTTGTCAGAGCATGCACCCTCGATGTAATTGTTTTTCTTTTTGCATTGTGCACCACATTACACGTCCATCATGTGCTGCTTTTACAAATTTGCACCGCTATCATACATGTATTCCAAAAAACACGGATGATGTTCACATTTGGTTCAAATCTGCCTCTTGTACGCAACAAATTACTCATCTATGCAATCAGTTCTCTCTGAAACTGATTCAGAAAGTTCAGAGGGTAATTAATTTAATAATTTTATTTTACCATTTTTAGCTTATTTAAAGGAAATCTTGTGATCATAATGGTCAACTTTATAATCAGTGGGGGAAAAAAACCTTTGTTGGCTTTACAGCAGCGAGCTTTTTTTTTTTAAGTGATAATAAGCATATTTTGCATGGTATTTGGAGTATTATATTTTTGGTGTTGATCCATGTCAGGACTTTGGCTGGTCCACTCCAAAATATTCAAACTACTTTCAGTGAAAAGTAGCATGTTGCTCAGCTCAGAAGATTCAAATTTCTCCCTCCCTGCAGTCAGTGACTCATAACGTATCTTCCTTGAAACAATTATCTTTCATCCAAGGTAAAAAAGTTTGGACCAGAGGGTTGTTGAGCAGGAGAATAATCCCGAAGCAACGACATAACTGCTTTTTAAATGCGTCAAGAGGCTAATTTTAAACTTTTAACAATCACTTCGTCAATACCTGAACCTCAACCCAACACCAATGCGTATAAATATTAAGTTGGAAGTTTGCCCAACAAAATCGAGTTGCTTTTGATTCATTTTGCTCACAAAATATGGACCATGGGAACCTCTGAATGAGAAAGGGTCACGGCTGCCCAACCTATGCAAATGAAATCATAACATTATTTGTAACTCTGCATTGAATATAGCTGGTTACAAATTGATCAGAGTCCCCCCCCCCCCACACACCTCATACCGACTTCATTATCAAGCTAAAAGCAAAAACAAGGGGCGGACGGCGAGAGACGGGGTGGGGAGAGTTAGTCCAGTCCATTACACAGAATTTCTTTTGCATCATGCAGACGACCTGGAGTGTGTGAGATTTTTATTTAATGAGGACGTGGCTGCAGGATGCATAATGCTACCAGGTCAGCCCCCCCCACCCCCACAGCACAGCTCTGCAGTGTGAGCCTTTGGTTCCACCCGGGATGATCTCGTTTCATATTATTACTTGGTTTGTTTAGCGTGCACGTATATGGACGCCTCATCGAGCGAATGGTTTGTTTTTTTTTTCTACCCAATCCAACACTATGGTTATATAAACTACATCATTTATCAGCAGAGAGCTGGTCGGTGTTTCAGAGCTTTTTCTCTTCCCACTCATATAAAATATACATTTTGCTAAATAAAAATGTGCATATTTGCCGTTAGAGTGTTTTTGTCATTCAGCTCCACGTATTGAACCCAGGACGGTGATCATATTTCAACAGAAAGAGGCAAGCATGAAAATAAACTAATAAACCAATAAACACTACGAGGGCTTTCTTTTTTTTTCTACTGTTGTGGGAATTTATCTTTTCGTTGTTATTGCATCCTAATTAAGTGAACAAATAACACCAGTTATGATACTGGGGTAGTTAATGAATCCTTAGACTCTGATGACAAATGGCCGCATGCAGAGTTTATTTTTTATCTTCATATGAGGAAGTTCTGAGCCTGTGCAGCTGCTGGAGGAAAAAAAAAAATACCCAAAAGGAATTTTTTTTTTAAACCGAAGGGAACGAGTTGAGGCCATTTTATCTTCTTGTCGTTAACAAGAAAGCAAGAATTCATTCAATAAAAAGACAACCAAAAACATAAGTAGCATGACCAATTAAACAAACGCAGGCACGACAAAAATAGTAGCAGATAATGGGGAAAGTTCCCTGGAGACGGACTCGTTTTCAGGAGGAAGGACCAAAATACATCCGAGCTACAAAAAGAGAAAAGAATCCTCCCTCCTTTTCATGCTTGAAGAGCCTCGTTCTCATTACCAACTGCAAACAACATGTTGGAATAGTAAATTGAACAGGCTAATGAGATTGTCAAAGGAGCCGCTGAGCAAAGGCTGCACTCGATCCTGACCAACGTAAATCAATATTTAGCTCCTCTTTGGAAAAAAAAAAATGCAAATAATAAATATTGTTTGACGGCGTGTGCACGGACATTGCCTTGCAGAAGCATCCATATCTGTTGGACCTCTGCATAGTTTCCTATGTTACAACCAGGAAGCTTTGATAGAGCATATTGGAAGTGATTAGCTGTTAAGGCTGTATGGTTTTCAAACTTACTTAGAAACATCATCCCAAAAACATGATTTATAGTTATACTCAAGTTTCCTGGGTTAGTACTTGGTAATCAGGAATCTAGCAGCTCAATTAGTAAAATCTTCATTTAACCAGGCAAAACATTAACAACA